ATCGTATTTTCTTATTGGCAGTTTTTTAGTATGTAAATGTTGCACACATGTGTTGCATGCTGTAAACACACAATATTTTGGATACTGTGGGAAATTCTTATTGTTATTGCATATTTAAACATTTATTTAATAAGTTCAAACTGTTAATGGAAAATCCTTTAATCCTGCTGTTGAGAAAACAAGGAGGAGGGCTATTGAATGTTTAATTCAAATGAAGCAAAACAATTTCAACTTAAGTGCATAAATGTGTGGGAAAATAAATTTCCAAGGAGAAAAAATTTATTCAAAATATATTTTTCATTATTTTTCTACAATTGTTTAAGACCAAAAAATTAGCAGGATTTAAAATCATGGTTGTGAATAAAGTATGTACTTGCAGCATTGTTCGTAACATAAGTAACTTTTCCTTATAAATTCGTAATACTAGAATAACTATAGATTATAGACTATAGGCAAGGCTATAGACTGGACTATAGACTGGACTATAAACTGGACTATAGACTGGACTATAGACTATAGACTAGACTATAAACTAGACTATAGACTAGACTATAGACTAGACTATAGACTAGACTATAGACTAGACTATAGACTAGACTATAGACTAGACTATAAACTAGACTATAGACTAGACTATAGACTAGACTATAGACTAGACTATAGACTAGACTATAGACTAGACTATAGACTAGACTATAGACTAGACTATAGACTAGACTATAAACTAGACTATAGACTAGACTATAGACTAGACTATAGACTAGACTATAGACTAGACTATAGACTAGACTATAGACTAGACTATAGACTAGACTATAGACTAGACTATAGACTAGACTATAGACTAGACTATAGACTAGACTATAGACTAGACTATAGACTAGACTATAGACTAGACTATAGACTAGACTATAGACAAGACTATAGACTAGACTATAGACTAGACTATAGACTAGACTAGACTATAGACTAGACTATAGACTAGACTATAGACTAGACTATAGACTAGACTATAGACTAGACTATAGACTAGACTATAGACTAGACTATAGACTAGACTATAGACTAGACTATAGACTAGACTATAGACTAGACTATAGACTAGACTATAGACTAGACTATAGACTAGACTATAGACTAGACTATAGACTAGACTATAGACTAGACTATAGACTAGACTATAGACTAGACTATAGACTAGACTATAGACTAGACTATAGACTAGACTATAGACTAGACTATAGACTAGACTATAGACTAGACTATAGACTAGACTATAGACTAGACTATAGACTAGACTATAGACTAGACTATAGACTAGACTATAGACTAGACTATAGACTAGACTATAGACTAGACTATAGACTAGACTATAGACTAGACTATAGACTAGACTATAGACTAGACTATAGACTAGACTATAGACTAGACTATAGACTAGACTATAGACTAGACTATAGACTATAGACTAGACTATAGACTAGACTATAGACTCGATTAGACGTTAGAAAATGTTGCCTAATTTTCGAACAATACTGTTAATATGAACATTTTTTCCACAACTTTTCCTCTTTTAAATGACTAGACTAGACTATAGACTAGACTATAGACTAGACTATAGACTAGACTATAGACTAGACTATAGACTAGACTATAGACTAGACTATAGACTAGACTATAGACTAGACTATAGACTAGACTATAGACTAGACTATAGACTCGATTAGACGTTAGAAAATGTTGCCTAATTGTCGAACAATACTGTTAATATGAACATATTTTCCACAACTTTTCCTCTTTTAAATGATTCTAAACTTGTAAATTTCTCTCTAGTTTTTTTCAAATCTATCAAAAATAAAAAAATGATAATTAGAAAGCTTTTAAGGAAAAGTATTTGGCAAGAAAATTCCTTATCACAGCACACAACAATTTTCTAGTTAAAATTTCCTATAACAGTAAAATATGTGAAATATGTTGACCGTAAACAAGTTGTTTTACTTTCAACCATTTTTCTTCAATATGTTTTTTTTTTTTTCTTCTAAGTGCAGACATTTTTGTTTAGAGTGCTTGTACTTGAGCAGCAACAAGAAAATAATCAGTTAAGAAAAGAAGTATCAGCTGTCTGTTCAGTTGTTGTTCAGTTTCTATTTGGCCAGATAAATTGGTTAAGAGAGTAAACAAGAGAGAAAGAGATTCATTCCTAACTTGGTGTTAAAGAAAAAATAATGAAATGAAGTTAAGCTAAGTTAAGAAAAGACTGAAGAAAAAATTGAGAAACATGTTTAAATTTCTTGTTAAGTTGCTTTCGCTGCCAACGAAAATAAAATAAAATACTAAACGACTTTTAATAACAAAAAACCATAAACAGACAGTTTTTTGTTTTTCACCACCACGCGTGGCTCAAAACACAGCAGCACTCTTGTTAACTGACTGACGCTGCTCAGCCTGCCGCTGCTGCTGCCAGAGAAGAATGTGAATGTTAAGTCAACCTTCACAAGGCCGTTCATTGCAAGCCGGATTTTTTCGTTAAGAAAACTACACACAAAAAAGGCAGATGATTTTATGTGTTTTTTCTACAATTTACCAAACATGCATCGACATGTTTGGGTTAAACAAAAAATGTTAAATTGAGGTTAAAAGAAATTAAGACTGGTTAAAACTAAAATTGGTTAAAAATGTACATATTGGGTTAAAAATCATCAAACATCTGTTTGCTTTAACACAAATCGTTATAATTAAAGAACATTCAAATTAAATTACCGAATTGTCTTTGTGCCCATCTAGTTTGAAGATGAGGATTGCATTTAAAATTAAGCAAAAAAACATCTTTTTTGGTATTTAGACATAAGACTCATTATGGACTTATTATATTTTGTGGCCTAAAACTGCCACATGACAGCTGTTTTAATTCTTAACACGATTTTTGGCCTTTTTTGATGTTTTTGTTCTTTTGCTTTTGATTGTCGAGTGATGCCAGATGAGGGAAGTTTTTGTTAGTATGGGTATTCGATATGGGGAAATAACTATAACTATTTTGTACGGTGCTCTTTAAAACCCCAGTTTATTATGCTGATGAGTTTAAATTTATGAAGAAATAGACAGACATTTTTTGAAAGTTGTATTTTTCAATAATCAATTAAGATATGGGTTTTCAACAAATAAATGGCCCAAACATTTATCAAAGTAGGTTTAAATTTTGTTACCAAGCTATTAAGATTGGCCAGCACAATCCTTAGACTTTAATCCACCCAATTCTTAGACTTCAATCCACATTAATGAAAAAAGATTATCGTAAAAACTGGCGAAAGTTTTCCGATTGCCAACCATTCGATCATTTGAATAAGGATTCAAACAAATTCTATGCATGATTAAAAGAGCTGTATAAATTCCAAAAGAATCAGACACCAGAACTAAGGCAGGATTCAGAACTGGATTCAGAACCCAAATTCCCACTATAGAACACTTACGGCTTTCGTGTCATTCAGGAAAAATCTGCGGAATGGCGATAAGTATGTTTAATACAATTTAGAGAAAGCTTTCGACAAACTAAATCATGATTGTAACGAAAGTAACGAATCTTGCTGAATCCGACATGGGATTGACGATCTTTGGAAAAGTGCTGGAGTAAGTCAGCGAATAGTATGGGAACTGTAAAGTCGTCTAAATGTTCTAGATTACGCAGATGATATCTGTATCATGGCTCACAGATTGTTCTTCAGTTCTGCTGCCTGGGGAGTATTATATACGCTAACAGGGACTCAGGTGAGGATATTAATGACCTTTTACAGAGAACTCGTCAAACATTATATTTACACACGAAAATTTCGATATTCAATGCCAATAAAAAATCCACACATTTGTACGGATGCGGAACATATTTAGATCGCTACCATTCGTGACATGCAAAAGATTCAATTACCGAATCCTACTCATTTACTGATCAAGAACTGTATATAATCAGATTACCGCACATGTTATCGAATGCTTTCGCATCGCATACACATTTTGATATCGATATTAAGGTAAAATGTACTGGATTTCTTGTTCGATATAATTTTAGTCGAACAAGAATGCGGTAATTATTCTCCTTGTCAACTCTTGTCGATTGAAACAAAGAGGCGCAAGTGGTGTTCATACCCTTTTACGACAATCAAATCGTAGCACCAGGATTGATAATAAAAAAAGTATCGGTATCTCAAATCCAGAAACCAACCAAAAATTTATTAGATTTTATATATTTTCGGTAGAAAATAATGATTAAGCCGATAATAAGTTAAATGATATTCCACATCACTTTATTTTAAGAAAACTATTGACAACCTTAATTCTAAAAACAATCTAGTTAAACGCTCACAGTTGTCGAGTTATTGGATCTTCGAAATCTTTATGACGATCTAGATTGGAAAATATGGTCTGAGAAAGAGATAATTTTCTCTGTTTTGGTGATGATAGGTCCAAACTCTGAAATCCATATATCTGAAAAATTTCTTTTTTCAATAAAATTTGTCTAATTTCTTTGGATTATAAAGTGATTTACTTGAAATGCTAAGAAAATTAAGGAATTTTGGGATATTTTTAAACTCAGTTCAATATATTTTAACACTTCTCTGGCTACACTATATAGTTAAAGAAATTACAACCAATTTATTGCTCTCTTTCTTCACCAAAAACTCTCTTAAACCCCTACTCTTTTCAAAAATATTTCTCTCACAAATGCAAGAAAACAAAACAAATATCATATGTCTCTTTCTAAAATGCATTCTAAACATAATGTCATCTCTTTTCAACACCAAGGTAAGCTAGTAATTATGAAAATGTAAACATATGTTTGTAAAACTGACTCTCAAATGCAATGTAATAATGCCTGCTGTTGTCTCTTGTGATGTATGGTGGTGGTGCTGGAGTTCTGGTTGTGGTTGTTGTTGTCGTTGGTGGTGGTGGTGGATGTAAAATACTGTATCTTTCGCAATAATACTACGGCTACGACTCTTTAACTGAACACACACTGGGTTTATTAACAATTCAAAAAGCCATTTGCGCACACACATGCTACGAAAACCCCTCGAACTACGAACAAAATAAAAAGTTGTTTAGTGAAGCAAAAGAAGTTTCACAATTTTATAAATTCAGTTGCTCTTTAACAAGCGGCATGATCGGAACAAAATAAAAACGTTTAACGGTTAGAAAAATTAATATAATTTAAAAAATAAACTTATAAATTTTAGTGAAGAAAAAAAAAACAAACGCTCTTTTATTAATAACAAAAGAATAAAAACAAATAAACTTATAGAAATGTTTTATTGTTTATAAAAAATATTGAATTTAAGTAAAAAAAAATTAATATTTTAAAAAAATTTTATTATAAACCAAAAAAGTGAGAACAAATTTTAAAAATTATTGAAAATATAATTTAAACAAAATTAGTGAAACCTTTTGGTTTTAAGTGTTTGAAAAAGAAAATAGAACAAAAACAAACTTAATTATGGTGCGTAGTTTGGCTCAGTGGACGAAAACCTTGAGTTTTCCTTCACGTTTATCACCAAATCGTAATTCTAAGGATTGTTCAACATTAAATGCTACTAGTCCAATACCACCTCCCACACCACCCAGGAATAAAAACTCAAATTGTGCTACCTCGAGATCATCATCCTCAACAGTGTCTTCAAATTCAGGCACTTCAACACATTCATCGAATAATAACAACAATAATATGCCCATAACGGAATTGGAACAAATTGTAAGTTTTGTGTTTATGATTATTTATATAGAGTTTAAAGAAAGAATCTAGGGAATTTGGGGAAATAGCAAAAAAGATAGGGTAAAACAATAGAGGATAATAGAAGAATCGAGGGAATATGAAAGTAGCAAAAACTAGTTTGTGTAGAAATTTCACAAGATTAGGAAATTTGCTAAACGTTTAAAATGTTACGTTATTTTTTTGAAAGTTACAAGGAAGAGTTTAATTATAAAATTTATATAACGATTAAAATTCAAATTCAGGCATTTAAGGTTTATTCTCAAAGATTTAATTAATTGAATTTACTGTTTCCAATGATACCTCAGTTACAGTTTTACTTTTAGAAAAAGTTTAATTTTTATTAAAATTACTTGAAAAACTCATTAAATTTAAAAAAAGTAAACTACATAATTAAAAATTAAGATAATTTTGTTTATTATCTTTTTGCCACTACCTTCACCTTTTAAGAAACATAAACAACAAACTGACACATAAAATCAACTTGACAGGTCATTCTAATTTTAATTTCCTCCCAAAAAAAAAACAAAATATTAAGAAATTCAAGTAAATAAATGAATTACTTTCTATCTAGTTTGATTTATTTCCTAAATACAAAAAAAAAACAAGATTTTATCTTAATAATAATAAATTCAATTTAAAGTAGAGTGTTTGTTGGAAATTTTCTTAAAATTTAATTAGACATGAAGTCGTACAAAAGAGATGTTGTTTGTTAAACTTTTACTTAAATTGAAATCGTAAAAACAAAATTTTTTGAAGCGTATCAAAAATGAAAAAAAATTAAATGAATTTATATGTGAGATTCCACATATGAATATGTGTGAAAAGAAAATTTAATTAATGATACACATAATATGTTTGTATATAAAAAAAAATAACGAAAAATTTGCTGACGGCTGAGCAAATATTAAAAATTTGGGTCAATTTAATGTTAACTCTTTTTTGTGGTAATTTTGATAAAACGTAAGTCAGTTTGTGGGTTATAAGGGGAGAAACCCTATAATTAAAATTTCCTCATATACGACGAGTGCATATTTAACAATACAAATTGTTTATATACAATAAAATGCTTGTTATCTTTGAATAGATTAAAATAGTTGTTATTATCACAACATTTAGTTTTGTAAATAAATAACCCAAACTAATCAATAATAAAAAAAAATTAATATTACAAAACTGTTAGATTTACTTAGAAAGAGTTCTATTGTGTAAGAAAAAAAAATGTAAAATTTCAAGTCAATAACCATCTATCACTAAGTTGATTAATTGCAAGTCAAGCAATTGGCACAAATTTTGTGCAAACCTTTTCAGAAACCTACTTCAGAAACATGAAATCACTATGTTTGCCAAACTGTGCAAATTTGCACAAATTCCACGCAAATTTCCTTAAGTTTATGTAAGAAACAAAAAGTTTTCAATTTAACTATGCAAATTTCCCCAATTTTTTACAAATCTATTTTAATTTATAGAAGAATAATAAAAAATTTCAACTAAACTGTGCAAATTTCCCCAAATCCCTTGCAAATTTATTTAAACAAATTAAAAATTCAACAGAATTTAACCTTAAACGAACGTTTTTAACTACTTTAGAAGCATAAAATCACCATGTTTGCACATTTTTTTTTTACTAAATTGTGGAAATTTGCACAAATTCTTAGCAAATATATTTAAGTTTAAGCAAAAAACAAAAAATTATAAACAAATCTAAGCAAATTTGCCCAAATTATTTGCAGATTTATTTAAGTTTATGTAAAAAACTAAACATAATACAGAATTTATATTTGCGCAAGCATTTTATCTTAAACTTAGATTTAAAATCACTAAAATAGCAACATTTTATATAAAATTTTTTCTTGCTACAAAATTATGGCCACAAATTTAATTACACAAAGATTTATAATTACACATTACAAATTATTTATCTGTTAGTGACAGGAAATCTATATTTTTTCCATTGCAATTCAATAAAAAATAATGCTAAAAAAAATACAATTTAATTAGCATGTAATTGTCCTCTATTTGAAATTATTTATAACCTTGTACTAGACAAAACAATTATAACAATTATAAAATATTTAATTAAGACAATTAACAAACTTAAAGTTTGAACTTTGAAAATGCACTTTGGGGAATGAGAAAAAAAAAACGCACTAAACTTGTTTAGACAATTTCTAAAAAAAAAAATCACATCTTGAGGACACATGTTGCAGCGTCAACGTGTGGGAAAATTAAAGTTTTAAAGAAAAAAACTAAAACACACAAAAAAGAGGAGATGATATTTCACATTTGTTTCCGTTTGCCATAAGAACGCCAACAACAACAACTAGCATAAAATAAACAGGATGTTAAAATGTGAGAGAAAAAATTAAGTGAAAAAAAAACAAAATCTTTAAGAAAACATATTAATCTTTGAGGTGCCCTTTAAAATTGAAAAAAAGATACACACATGTGTTTAGCAGGCATTAACATTATCCCATAAACACTACTTCTTAAAAACTAATGAATATACTCCTCCCTGGCCCCTAAACTAAAAGAATTAGGAAACCAAATAAAAAAGTACTTAAACACGTCAAGTGTTTGCTTAAAAGCGAAAGATAAGATTTAAGAGAAATATTTTGTGAAAGAAACATTTTAATGGAAAAATGTGCTTAAATTCTTTTCAAAGTCATTACTATTTAAAAATCCAAACTTTTAAGCCCAACAGTTTAGCAACTCTTTATTAAAAACCCACTTGTGTGGTGCGCTACCAATTGTAACTTTATTAAAATGCCAAAGTTAAAAGGCGTTTTGTATTCAAGTACATACATACTAAATTATGCAATATTTGTTTGCTGGCAAAGTGTATTTTTTAGTTTAGCAGTTTTAGAGAGCGTTTCAACAAAAGAAAAAAATATTTAATAAACTTTGAGATACAACAAATAGCAGAAAAACTCTGAAATATGTATGTTGAGCTTAATATGTGTGTTGGTTGGTGTCTTTTTTTGCATAGAAAAATCAGGTTTATTAAATGAGTTTTTGTTGGTTGCACAAAACAACAATTACTGGTACTAAAACATTCTTTAATGCCAGCCACCACATACCATACTAAAGATATGTCTTTTTGCAGAGAAAAAAAATTGTAAAAATAATAAAAATAAAACTAAAATGATGGTGTTACTAGCAAATATATGATTTTTTTTCTCAACTGAAATACAATTAAGAGTTTTTCTTCTTATTAGGCGTTTTCAAATTGAGTTAAACTGAGTTTAAACCAGCTTTATTTCAAATTTAAATTTGAAAACTTTTAACTAAAATATATAGGATTAGTTTTTGGCAAAGAGTTTAAATTACTTGCATATAAACTAAACCTAGTTTAAACTTGAATTTAACATTCCCTTAACTTTACAATTAGTGTTTAATTTTAAACAAGAATGTAATTAATCTCTAGCTTAAACTTTTATTAAACTTCATTCTAGACTTAAACTTTAAAACTAAAGCTTAAAGTCTTTAAAAGTATAAAATAATTATTACTCCCATTTTTGTTTTATTAATTAATACGAATATGTCCAATTAGCTAACTATGAGTTTACCAAAACTACTAATTAACCCACTATATCTTTTCTAAGTTTATTTTACCCTGAATCATGGTAGCTCCCACCAAATTGGTTTAATAAAAAATGTTCCCATCATTCTAGTTTCGTTCTTTCGTAAATCTTCTGCTAACTGGCGCCCAGTTCTAAGTTATTATTACAAAACTAGTTTCAAACTCAATTTTTCGAAATAAATCAATGCTTTACAACTATATTTGCCATACAACAAAAAGAAAACAGGAATTCTATGGAAAAGTTAGGAGTTAAACCAGAGGTTTGGGTTTTACTTAATGCTTTCTTCATTCTTTTTTCAATTTAATGAAAGACGGAAATGACATTAGTTCACACAGACAGAATTCAGTCAAATAATAATACAGACAGTTAAACAAAAAAAAATAAATAAAAAAAATTATATAAATAACATTCTTTATCTGGAATTGGAAAATATACTACAACAATCAGCAGTAGAAGTAGTAGTAGTAGAAAGAAGTAGTAGTTTTAAGGTTTATATGAGAAGTTTACACCACAAAGTTGAAAGAATGACTGACTGAGTGAGTAGCAGCAAACCATTGTAATCTTTTTTTATACATATATATTTTTGATGTTTAAACATTTTGTTGTAAACACACTATATGCATACAAATTTGTTTTTCTAAATAATATTAAAAATATCTACTTACATATACAAACTGTCTATGTTTGTATGTATTTTAACACAATAACCAACGTCAACACTTTGTATAAACTCTGCCATCATCATCATCACACATGATCATCATTATGAACGTCATCACACTATTGAAATCATCATCATCAGCACGGTCGCCTTGTAGTTGGCTTGTTGTAAATACTTATATAATAGTTTTAAACGCATTTTGTTGTTGATTTTTTTTTGTTGGAAAAGTGTGTATGTATTTGGTTGATATCATGTTTTTTCAACATTTAGTTGCAAGTGCAAGTCATTCATGCCAACCATCCACAGGCACATTCATTGCATTTATTTATATGCATGCCTCATGCCTTTATGGAATTTTTCTATATACTCACTACTCTCGCATAGTTGATAGATATTTCTATTTGTTGTTGTTTTTTTTAGTTTTCTATTTCTCTATTTCATGTTTAGTTTTTCCAATCCAAAAAACACATGTTTCTCATAATGTAGTGGAAATATTTATTTATTCAATGATTTTCTCCTATTATATTTGTACTTACGTACAAAAGTAGTAAATATTTCGAGGGAAATTCGTTTCAATTCATTAGGTAGCTACTGCAGCCTGACTGTCAGGCTGCCAGCCCGCCCGCCTGTCTATTTTTAATATGTGTATTTAAACATTAATTGATTCTTCTTTGCGGTCATTGATTTTTTCCAAAACGGAAAATTTTATATGTCTGTGTTAAGTTTTTGAGTATCTT